GAAGAGGAGGTGGTGGCGGCCGCGAGCTCTTGGCATCAGCCTGGTCTGGGGGGTGGGAGTGGGCAACCGCCGCGACTTAGGGACAGAAGCAGACGCGGCAGGAGAATGAGAGCGGCGCTGACTGTCCCGGGTCCCCAAGGAATAGAGGGATGCGCGCCTGGCGCTCGGAGTGCATCATGGACCTGTTGAGGCCCCCGCAACCTGAGTAGCTGCTCTTGGGCTTGGGCAGGCGGGGGAAGGTGAAGCAGTGGTTTAGCAGCTCCAAGAGGCACCACTGCTATGAACCAGGAGAGCCTTCGGGTGGTCATGTCCCCTTTTAAGGACCCAGTCTATTCTAGTCTAGAGTGCAAGTTAAGAAATGTTAGATTCAGGAAGACTTGGTGGCTCAGTCGGTTAAGCGTCTGGCTTCAGCCCAGGTCATGATCTCTGGGTTTGTGAGTTTAAGCCCGGCGTCCGGCTCTGTGCTGACAGCTCAGAGCCTGGAGCCTGCTTGGGATTCTGTGTCTCCCTCTCTCTCTCTCTGCCTGTCCTCCTTCTCTTTCTCTCTCTCTCTCTCTCTCTCTCGCTCTCTCTCCCTCTCAAAGATAAATAAACATTTAAAAAAATTTTTAAAAAGAGAAATGTTAGATTCAAATGGCTGTTTTCACAAAATCTTGTGGGAAAATACTTTGTGCTTTGTATCTGAATCTTAGGTAAGGGGTGACTAATGGTGGCACCTTTAGGCCTAGTAGAGTCATACTAAGACCTCTGACCATGACCTGCCTGGTGCCCTTGATGGCTCCCTATCACCAGCACCTTAGCATAGTGGCTGATGCCTTTGGAGACTTGGACCTCTGGTCACATCCTCAATCCCCTGCCCCATCCAGTTTACCCTTTATTATTTTTTTAAAAATGTTTATTTAATTTTAAAGAGAGAGACAGAGCACGAGCAGGGGAGGGGCAGAGACAGAGGGACACAGAATCCAAAGCAGGCTCCAGGCTCTGAGCTGTCCCCACGGAGCCCTACATGGGGCTGGAACTCACGAACTACAAGATCATGACCTGATCCGAAGTTGGCCGCTTAACCAACTGAGCCACCCAGGCACCCCTGTTTTCCTTTCTTTAAAGGCACCTCCCTCTTCTCCCATCCCCACACTGTACCTTTGCTCATGTCCTTCCCTCTGTCTGGAGTGCTTTTCCTCCTCTTTGTCCATCTGGAGAACTCCTGGAGGCTCTGGGCAGGAGTCAGAAGACACAAATTCTAGTCCTGGCCTTAACTTGAACATACTAATCTGTGAACTGAGGGGGTCAGACTAGATAATTTTGCAAATCTTTTCCAACTCTGCCTTTCACAAATCCATTTCTTCGTTCTGCAAACATTTCCCGAACACTCACTCTATGCCTGGGGAGTCAGGAATGGCTCAGCTGAATCTTGCAGGATTCAGTGGGCCAGCGGTGCTGTGGGAGCACCAAAGAACTTCCTCACCCAAAGGGGAGCAACAGCTTCCCAGAGCAGGGGCGTTTGAGTAGGAGTTTGATGGGGATGGGCAGCTATGGGAGCCCCTTTGTGCTTGAGTTTCTTATCTGCAGAGTAGGAAGATTATGTCTTAGTTTTGGGATTTCTTTTAGAGGCAATAAGATGCAGCTATCTTGGGCTTAGCACCAAGTGGGGGATTAGTGAATTTTTACTGTATTTGAGTGGAGGAAGAAGGTGCCGCTAGGGGCTGAGGATCTGTGTCCTGATTTGGGTCTCCCTTCCCCTTCCTTCTTCTAGTTTTGCCTTAATCTCCACTTAAGCGCTTCTGGGCCTTAAGGTTTGGTTCCCTAGGGGAGGTAGGTGCGGTGAGAGGCAGCTGGTCCCAGGGACTTCCTCAGTAACAGGAACCCCATGTGTGTTGCACTAGCCCGATGCCAGCAACAGGTGGACATGTCATTTCATTTAATTCTCACGAGGAGCGCCCATCTCCATTGCCTTATCTCACGAGGAGCGCCCATCACGAGGCTCAGGTGGTGAAGTGGCCTTGTCCAGACCCACATGGCCGACAGGAGTGGAGCCCATGCCCTTCTGTTGCTAAGGCGCTCCCTGATAGAGAGCTCACTGCAGGCCGAGCTGCCCCTCTAGCTGGCCATTTGCTGAACCAGCGGTGTAAATTGTGCCTCACCAGGGCCTCCTCACTCAGGACACGAAGAGGCCAGGGGCCCACTCTCTCCTTTATTCTTCCCTCACACAGCTCCAATGTGGCTGAGCACACAGAAGGGGCTTTAGGGGCTTATCTGGCTCAACATTTTTAGAAGAACAACAACAAATCGAGACTCAGATGGGCCAGGATGTGGCCAAGGCCACACATAAAACCAGGTGGTGGAGCTGGGGCTGCCCAGGATCCCAAGTTGCAGAGGATGAGGTGGGACTCTTTAGGCCCTGTCTGTTCTTCCTCCCTCTCTTGTCCATCCAGCTCATCCTCTCCATCCCAACACGTCTCTCTGTCCAGACCAGGCTTGTGGGCCTTGCCTGTACCGTTGCACAGCCTCAGAGAGCTCCTCACCGGTCCATCCATAAACCTGCCCATGCCACTCTCCTGCTCTTCAACGGCTCCTCATCTTTCCTAAGATCCTAAGATAAGGATCCCTCTCCCTAACTAGGCTTTCAAGTCCCTTCTTGGCCTGGACTGCCCACCTGCATCACTCCCTGTCCCCAACACCCACCAGACGCTCTAGCCAGCTTGGTGGAGGTCACCACATGGGCTCTTTTGCACCTGGGCCTTTGTACATGCTGACCTCCTTGCTTATATCACTCTCTCCCTTTTGCCTGATGTTCACCCTTTATGGCTAAATAAGGCATCACTTCTTCTGGGAAGCCTTGTTGGCCCCAGGCAAGGTTAGGTCTCCTCGGGGCCCCTACGGACTCTGGTTTCCCTCCATCACACCTCTGATGACACTGGGATTATAATACTCAGTTTACACCTACGTCTATTACATCCATGCCAGCACTGCCTCATAGAAATATAACGTGAGCCATAAATGCAAGCTGCGTACATAATATGAAATTTTCTAGAAGCCAGGTTAAAAAAATAAAATGTAAAATTAATTTTAGTAGCTTATTTTATTTAACTAGTTTATCCAACATACATAATTAATATAAAAATAAATGAGATGTTGTGTGAGATACCCTAAATATTAGTGATATTCTACATCCTCTTTTGTACTAGTCTGTGGAATCCGTATATACTACGGATTACACTTATAGCACCTCTGAATTCATTCTAGCCACATTTCAAGTGCTCAGTAGCCACATACAGCCACTACTTTGGACGGTGCAGGTGTGAGCTTCTTAAGGGCGGGAGCCCAACCCGAGTGCTCTGTCTGGGTCCTTAGTGCTCAGCTGTGCTTGGCCCAGTGAAGGGGCCACGTAGCATTGTGGTTAAGGCCCTGGGCTGGGAGCTCAGCTTCACCATTTAACAGCTGTGTTACATTGGCCGATCCCATTGGGCCTCAGCTCCCTCATCTATAAAGTGATGGTGATAACATTTTCAATATAGTTCATACTGTTAATATAAACAGATACAGTTTTATAGATCTTCATGGATACACACCGAAGGGGAGGGAGGAAAAATCGCTGGTCCGGTGAGTGCACAGGATATGTGGGGAGGAACCTTCTCCCTGGCCTCCTGCCCTGGTTGATTTGGGGACTGTGCCCACACTCCCCCCTCCCAGAGCCCTGGTCCGCAGTGGGGTCACACACTGGTCTAATGCTGGTGGCTCCCGGGACTGAAGGCTTTTGAGCTAGTGAGGGGGGAGGGGGAGGGGAGGAGTTACAGTGTGCATGGGGATGATGGTCTGTAGACTGGCTGAGGATTCATTGCCCGTTTGGTCAGGGGATGGGGAAGCAGGGGTGTGGTAGGGTGGGCATAGGGCCAGGCTGCGGCAAGTGATCCTTACTGCTGCCAACCGACCCCTGAGGCCTGGGAGCTGTACGTGTGCTAGTAGGCCCCCTGGTTTTCTGCCGGGCCAGCAGCTGGGGTCTGAGTCTGCTTAGACCTCGTAGACCTATATGGAGTCAGACAAGCCTGGCTGCTGCCCCTCTTCTCTCTCCTCACACATCTCTCTCTCTGTCTCTCTCTCTCTCTCTCTTAATGGCTTACCAGGGCTCACCCAGTCTGGGGTGGAGGGAGGGGCAGTAGTTATTGAATTGGGCTCTGCTGCCCCCTCTAGACTGAGAGCAGGGAACTTTGCCACCTCACTTGTGTCCCCTGTGCCAGCACAGGGCTGAGGGCAGACAAGACCTCACCTTGGAGAGCTGGCTGAGCCAATGAGTGAGGCAAAGCAGTGTCTGAAATACTGCAATGGCCACAGGGCAGCAGGAATTCGTAGGAGGCTGGAGTCTGTAAATCTGCGGGGAGGTGGGCCTGGGACCGGACTGAAAAGCACAAGCAGGATCTGGACAAGAGAAGAGGAAGAAGCAGGGGGTTGTGGGGTGGGCAGTGCCCATGGATCAGATATTAGTGGTAGGAAGAGCTAACATTTATTGAGCACTTAGGGTATACAGTATGTGCATCTCACTGACTCTCATGGTGTCTCCATTAGGGTGGACAGGTGAGGAAGCTGAGGTTTGATGGGTGACAAAACTTGCTCAGGGTCATACAACTGAGAGCCAGAGCCGACCTCAGCCCTGGCTAGTTGGCTCCAGTGCCTGCCTTCCTAACCGGACATCGGCAGCGGTGGCCAGCTCCCAATTTACCCAGGCCCAGCATCTTCTAGCCGTGTGGGGTGTGGTCCCCGATCTAGTGCCTTGGAGAGAGCCTCAGACTGGGGCAGGGGTCCCCTGGGGCTGAGTGCCTGCCATGTACCTGCATTTGTAATTGCTGCAGCAGTGACAGCAGCACCGCATCACCCAGGAGGTATCAGGTGCTTCACATCTGTCACCTTGCTGACTGCTCCAGGATGCTGTGGGTTTAGATGTATTATCTGCCTTGTAAGGTGAGGAAATAGGCCTGGGGGGGTCAGAGCCATTAAGTGGTGGAGAGGGATTCAAACTGGGGTCTGTGGGACTCTAGAGTCAGCATACCTGAGCTATAGCCTGTCACATCATCCCAGAGATGTTTGCTAAGTGCCTTTCTGTAAAGAGAACTCCAGAGACCAGCCCAGAGACCAGCTAGGTCCATGGGCTGCTAAAGATGGAACCCTGCATCTTCCTCATGGCCTGAGGCCATCCCCAATGCCCCACCCCTGCTGCTCTAGGGGGCTATGCAGTGCTCGGGAGTGGTCCCTTGCAGGTGGCAGCAGGCTCTGGTGAGGCCAGCTGAGAGTGCAAACATCAGGAAGGGACTTGGAAGGGATGGCAGCAGCACCATTCACTGATGCCTGCCCTACGCCCAGCTCCACCCAGACACTGAGAGTGGCTCACAGCCCTACATGGGAGAAAGACACCTTCACGTATTCACAGCCTAACCCAACTCATACCCTGGGGGAACAGTGCTGGAGGGTCCTGGGGCAGCTCAGAGTCTTCCCAGGGGACACATAACTGGTGTTAGTTCTTAGAGAAGTTGCTAACTGCACAAGAGAGGGAGAGGGCTTCCAGGCAGAAGGAACAGCATGTGCAAAGGCCTGGAGAGAGGAACTTCTAGATAGACCTGTATGACTGGGGTGTGGGTGCTGGAAGAGAGACAGGGTCAAGCCCTGAACATCCTAGAACAACAAGCCGAAGAGCTGGGATGTGCCCTGCTGCTGCTGGTCCACCATGGCCTGTGGCTCTGGACGAGATACAGGGCCTGTCAGCCCCGCCTGTGCCAGGGCAGCAAGAGCTCCACAAAGTCCTGGCCAACGCCTGCAAGTCACAGTTCCTCCTGGGCCACAGATTCCCCTTCTGTGAAGTGGGTGTCCGGTGCTCAGAGCCAGGACTGGTAAGGGCTGCTGGAAGTTTTGCAGACTTGCCTAAGGACAGGGCTTCACCTCCTCCCTCCAGAGGGTAGCCCTGATGAGGGGGAGGTGGGTAGGGAAGGGAGGGTGGCAGCAGATCGGACGTGTGTGTGCCCAGGATCCCTGGGTAGGCTCTGTCTTGTGCCTAGGAGGGCCCTAGTATGACTTCCATAGGCCCTAGCCCTGTGCCTGCTGTCCCTAACAGGTGAAGTCTGACTCACCCCCTCCTGCAGGCACCATGGCCCGGAGCAGGGCACTGCTGTTCCTGTTGCTGTTGTCATCGCAGCTGCAGCTGGGACCGGTGAGCACGGTGAGGCCTCCGGGGTTTGGCCGAGGTGGTGCCCACAGCCTGAGCCCTGAAGAGAACGAATTCATGGAGGAGCCAGTGTTGGTCCTGAGCCCTGAGGAGCCAGGGCCTGGCCCTGCCACCATCAACTGCCCCCGAGACTGTGCCTGCTCCCAAGAAGGTGTTGTGGACTGTGGTGGCATTGACCTGCGTGAGTTCCCGGGGGACCTGCCTGAGCACACCAACCATCTGTCTCTGCAGGTGAAGCCGCCATTGCAACAGCGGTCACCAGGGGCTGCCCTCTACATCGCGGCTCCTGGCCCAGAACCCCCAGTTCCTGTGGCTCCCCAACCCCAGACACAAGGTGCTAGGGCATTCCCCCCTCTGATGTCCCAGTCACAGAGTAACGTGATATTATAACTGCTTTGTTTTACTTGGAGGAGTCTGGGCTGAGGGAAAAAAGGACACAGATCTGCCTGGCAGCCGACCCTCTGAACGGACGGGGTGCCCAGACACCATTACAGGCCAGGAGAACAAGAGAAAGTCGACCCTGATTGATGCTCTGGGGGCTCAGAGGATAGAGTATTCTCCCCAGCTGAGGTGCAGGCTAGATTTTGAGAAGTGGGACACAGTGTTCCAGATGGGGGACTCTGGGAGTTCTGGTGCACCCAACTTTGTGTGGCCCAGCAGCTCTGGAGGAGAGAGAGGGGCTCTCTCTCGTACCCATTTCCAGAGATCAAGCCTAGTGAAGGAAAGTGATCTGCCCAATGGTCACTCAAACTGATAGGTCTAGGGTGATGGTGGAGGGAGCCCGCGGCCAGGGTAGCCCATGAGGGAAAGGGACAAGTTAAGGACAACACTTACTGTTGGTTCATTCACTCATTTATTCATAAGTCTCCCGGGTGCATGCTTGATACGTCTGGTGCTGTGTCAGATGCTGGGCGTGTAGGGAGGACTTGAACAGCCTATGGGGGAGGCAGAGATCTAAACAGGTAAAGACAACAGATGGAGACAGAAGGACTAGTGCTGTGGGGCCCATAGCAGTTCCTAGTCTGGCCCTAATCCAATTCAGGAAGGCTTTTGGAGGAAGGTTTTAAAGCATTCCAAAGGGAGTGAGGACCCAGGTTCCTCTCCCCAACCCGAGAAAGGGAGCCAAAAGTAGTTTCTGGCTTGGGGTGGGGAGAATGGGCTGCGGATGCCTGTCATCCAGTGGGAACATGAAGGGAGCGGGTCTAGAGGGGAGGCGGCACTCCAAGTTTGAACCACCTGGAGATGCTCCCATCTGGGCTCCTCGAAGGTGGGACCTGCATGCCTTTTGTGGTCACTGCTGTGCCTCCAGCGCTGAGACCCGGGCCTGGCCCAGACCCAGGGCCTGTCTGCATGAGGGTGAATCCCAAGGGAGGTGCCCAGCAGAGGGACTGGCTCCTGGGACTGGGACTGAGGGTGGGGGCAGGCCTCTAGTGAGCCTGCCTCCTCACCATCCCTGGCCCTTACTCCCCAGAACAACCAGTTGGAGAAGATCTACCCCCAGGAGCTCTCCAGATTGCATCGACTGGAAACTCTGAACCTCCAGAACAACCGTCTGACTTCCCGAGGTGAGGGATCACCCAGAGCCCAGGAGAGGGACACGAGGGGGTGGGGACTGGTGCCCATGGGAAGAGCTCCACCCTGCAGATCCTGGGATACGAAAAACAGCAGGGCTGGGCTGGCAGCAGGGCCTCACGGCCAGGGGCTCCCTGTGGTTGCCTAAGAGTCACCCCTGTGGGTTTCTGAGACCTGGGAGTTGGGTCAGGGGAAAGGCTGAGATTCCCAGGACCTTTCTCATAGACTCTTTATTTTTATTATTATTTTTTTTAACATTTATTTATTTTTGAGAGAGAGAGAGAGAGAGGACGCGCGGAGGAGGGGCAGAAAGAGGGGGAGAGCCTGAAGCAGGCTCCGGGCTCCGAGCTGTCAGCACAGAGCCTGACACGGGGCTCAAACTCATAAACCGCGAGATCATGACCTGAGCAGAAGTCAGACACTTAAGCGATTGAGCCACCTATGCACCCCTCTCATAGACTCATATTCACAGAAGGCCTTCAGAATCAAAGATGCATAGAACACTCACATTGTAAAAAGTTATTTTTTTCTGATGATGAAAATAATTTATAACAGAAAATTTGGAAATGTAGAAAACAAAATGGAAAAGAAAAAACCCACTTATAATTCTGCCACGTGGAGTTAATCACTACTAACGTTTGGGTATGTTTCTTTCTACTTTACTTATATGCTGTAAGATTCACCCAACATAAAAGTACAATTTGACGAGTTTTGGTAAGTTTACATAGTTGTACAACCATCACCACAATTCAATCTAGTCTCTTTTCTTTGTGTTTTTTCATTTATAGCTGAGCTTACAGTTTAGATATTATAACTGTCATAATTGCCCTGCTCCACTTAGCAGTTAGCAAAGCAGCATTTTTCATGTTGCAAAAAACTCTCAGTGGCCATCATTTCACACAGCGGCAGCCGGGTATTCCACAGAGGGACCCTGCACGGTTTATGTAACTGTTCCCTCTCCTTAGATGCTTGGGTGCGTCCCAGCATCTGAGGGTCTGGGAGCCCGGAACTGAGTGTCAGAGGCTGGCCTCAGGACTGGAGAAGGGCCAGTTTGGCTGGGCTCCCAGCAACAGCCGAGTCCTGACACTACAGCTGCCAGCTGGGACAGGGATGGGCCAGATGGTGGCGGGGGTGGGGGGGCACAGGGGCCACAGCTCTGCCCTGCAGAGGTATGAGGAGGGTCTCTGATCCTCTAGGGCTGCACCTGAAGAAAGCACTCCTTCCTGATGGGGAAGGGTGGGGATGGGTCCTCTGCCCCGTGGCCTGACCTTATGAGGACCCATTCCCACGTGGGTGCCCCCGAGCAGGTGAAGAATTGGTCATTTGTGAGTAGACACTGTCTACCTGCTCCTCTGAGCTGGGGCTCCTGGGAGCAAGGGGAAAGAAAACAGGGCTGCTGGGACTGGTTGGGAAGGGATCAGAACCCAACATGCCTCAGGGAGGGCCCTCCCGGTCCTGGCAAGTGGGGTGGGCACTGGGGGGGGGGGGTCGGTGGTGGTGTGCTCCCTTGTAGCATCTCCTTCATCCAGGGCTCTGACCGATGCCTGTCCTTTGAAGGGCTCCCGGAGGAGGCGTTTGAACATCTGACCAACCTCAACTACCTGTACTTGGCCAATAACAAGGTAAGGGGCCCCCTGGTGTTGGAGGCTGAGCTCAGGTCACTGGGTCCCCATTGCTGCTCAGACATGGTCCCGGTGAGACCTCACACCTCACTGCAGGGCATCAGAGTGGTCAGATAATGAAAACGGAGGCCAAGGCCTTACAGAAGTGCAGGAAGGTGATAGCTACTTGGAGGGCTTCCTGGAGGAGATGGCATTTGAGCAGGGCCATGAAGGGTAACGGGATTTCAGCCAGGGGGCCTAAGGGGGAGGCACTGCCAAAGAGAGAGCATGAGAAAAGGCACGAAGGCACTCAACTTCAAAATATTTGGTGTGTCCCAGGGCTCTGTCCTGGCCTCTTCTCTCTGAGGTCTCTCGAGGTGACCCATCCCCTCCCCAGGCTTTAGCACCCATCTACATCATGGCCATGTCCAGTGGCAGCCTCTAGCCCTTTCCACTCCTCCCACAGGAGACTCAAAGATCCACCCGCCTCCTCGACATCTCCCCTAGATGTCTAATGGAACTAGAACTCTGCTTGCCTCCCACAACCCCGAAAGCCCAATTCTCCTGCGGCCTTCTCCCCCGCCCCCCATAAAGGTCATCTCCAACCACCTACAGTGCCGCTCAGCTGAGCCACAAATCCAGGGCGCTTTGCTCACCCACGCCTAATCCCACTGCACGCCCTCGGCTCCCCTCCAGCCCCGTCCACCAGCCTGCACCACGATGGCCCTGCTTGCCTGTTTGCTCCTCCTTCTCCACAGAGAAGCCAGAGTGACCTTTAAAAATCACACCTGCTTCTACCCCGCCAACCCGCCTTCCCCATCTCAAAACTCCTGAGGCTTTACTTTCCACGCAGAATGAAAGCCACACTTCTCCCCATGGCAGATGGCCTGTGTGTGGGCCCCCCTGCCTCTCTCAACTCCTATTCCCACTCACTCCCTCTCCTCCAGCCCCCAAACCTGGCAACCCCCAGGTGGGGCCTACACTCGCTGCCCCTGCTGCTGTGGGTGCTCTCCCCTCAGATGGCATTAACAGTGCCTTAATGCCTTAAGTGTCACCTGTTCCCCGAGCACCCAACCCAGTTATTCCGTCTTCAGCCTGTTTTAACTCGCTACCACTATTGGATACTTTTGTGCCTTGTTTATTGTCTTCTCTATTGAGATGTAAGCTTTGGGGGTGGGGGTGGAGGCACTTCTCTGTCTTGTTCCTCAGGACACGTCCAGCTCCTGGACGCATGCCTGCAGTGTTGCAGACTCAGGGACTACTGTTGAATGAATGAAGGCTAGACACTGGGCAGGGGGAGGGCGTGTCTGGAGAAGTGGGTGCTCACTGTAGCTGGACAGAGGGTCTGAGGACAGGCAGGGCAGGGGACAGGCCTAGGAGGCTTTGAATGTTTAGGGCTGTGGGGGGCCACGGAGTTCTGTTTTTGCACACTCAGGGGAGTGGGATGGGCTTCCAGTTTAGAAAGATGGCTCTGGTTGCAAAGAGGAGCCCAGGTGAGCAGCAGGCAGTGAGACCCAGAGCTGGCCTCTGCCTGCCATTGGTCTTTCTGCCCCAACTCTTCCCTTTCCAGCTGACGTTGGCACCCCGGTTCCTGCCAAACACCCTGATCAGCGTGGACTTCGCCGCCAACTATCTCACCAAGATTTACGGGCTCACTTTTGGCCAGAAGCCAAACTTGAGGTCAGAGGTCAGAGGTCAGACGGGGGCCCTGGGCTCAGGCTGGGGAAGGGGGAGAAGCTGAGACACTCCCAGCCCCAAGCCAGGCAGAGGACAGGCCCTGGAGGAGGGGCATGCTGGGCAGTGCAGGCATGATGCCCTTGCTCAGGGCTGTGGTGAGGGATGCCCACGGGCTGCAGGGGCACAGGATCTGAGGAGTGAAAGCAATCAGTCCAAGAGGCAAGGACAGAGAGTGATGTCTGTGGAACTGTGGGGAGCTGGGTGGAGGGTCTTTCCCTCCTTCCCCAGCCCCTGTGGGAAGGAAGCATCTTCCAGCAGACAGAGCTGCCCCTCCCCAAGAGCTGCTTTGGGAAGAGTAGCACAGGTGTGTGAGCAGGGCAGGGTGGTTGGCGGGGGGGGGGGGGGGGGGGGGGGGGGGGGGGGCAGGTACTGACAATCCCTGGTGCTGCTTCTGCTTCCGTCCCTGAATCTGTCATCTCACTTGATTCTCTCCATGGGGTCACTGTGCATGGTCCCATCCTACAGATGAGAAGGCTGAGGCCCAAGAGAGGCCACACAGCAAGAATGAGTTCTTTTATGTTTAGAATATCTTCTCTTATTTTTTATCTTTGCTCCTTCTAGTATGTTAGTTCCATGAAGGCAGGGTCTTGTTGGTTGTGTCCACTGCTTATATCTTCAGAGTCTAGAACAGTCCTGGCACATAGGGACAATCACTATATATTTGCTGAATGAATGAGAGTTCACCTCCTCTGAGCCAGGGCCTGTAGTGGACACTTGAGACAAAGAGGTAGCAGGGATAGCCCCCATCGTGGGAAGTCCTGCAGAACTCAGAGCCAGCTGCTTGGGGTTGGCACGCAGGATTCCAGGGCTGCAACAGTCAGGCAATGACTGAGAACCTTGAAGGGTGTGGAGGAACACAGACTAGGGGTCAGGAAATCCTGTTTCTGCCACTGACGTGAGGGGGCAGCCTCTGGTGGGTCCTTGGTCTCCTTGGTTGTTTAGGAGGCACTGGATTAGGTGGGGTCTGAGGTCCTTCAAATGGGAGGAGGGTGCCCTGGGCCCAGGCCCAACCTGAGCAAGGTCTGAAGGCTCATCAGATGAGCTGGTTGGAAGAGGGGTGGGCATGGGTGGGTGAGGACCTGTGTCTCATCCCCCAGATCCGTGTACCTGCACAACAACAAGCTGGCGGATGCCGGGCTGCCGGACAACATGTTCAACGGCTCCAGCAACGTCGAGATCCTCATTCTGTCCAGCAACTTCCTGCGCCACGTGCCCAAGCACCTGCCACCTGCCCTCTATAAGCTGCACCTCAAGGTGGGAGGGAGAGCATGGGGAGGGGCGGCAAAAGAGCAGGGTCCTGCAGTGGGGGAAGAGCCCAGGCCCACACAGGCACCGTGGTGAGGCTGTGGGGCCTTGGGCACACGCCGGAGGGCACAGTGTCCACTGTGGAGAACCAGGCAGAAGCCTGGGTACCTGGCTGTCAATATCACATGCAGCATCCTCCAGGCCTGTGCCTCCTCGCATGGTTCCCCTAGACTCCCCTCCATATCTCATCCAGGGCTCCGCCCCTGCCCCTCAGCTGTCCCTCATGCTCCCCACCATCCCACCCCTCAGAACAACAAGCTGGAGAAGATCCCACCAGGTGCCTTCAGTGAGCTGAGCAATCTGCGTGAACTGTACCTGCAGAACAATTACCTGACTGACGAGGGTCTGGACAATGAAACCTTCTGGTGAGCCCCACCTGGGCCCTCCGTGTGAGCACGGTAACCGGGAAGCTGCTCCCTGGGCCCACCCTGCCGGGTCTTCTCACACATGCCTGTCACCTACCTGTCCCCCACCAGGTTCCTGGAGAAGGAACTTTGGGCTTGTGCCTTTGCTGACACGTCTGTCCCCAAGAACAAGTGATATGTCTAGAGAAGGCCTGCCCCACTTCCAGTGAGGCTGGCTTCTTGGTACAAAGTTGAAACTGGAGTATACTTGCTGAAGGCAAATATGTTTTCATTTTTTAGGGCCCAGGGTAGCCACAAAAAGCCTTAAATAATTGGTCTTCAAATTGACTTCTATGTGTCAAAAACCATGCTAGATTCTTCCTTCACCAACGTGTCACTGAATCAACCCAAGGACCGGCTCCAAAAGGACTGAGCTCCCCTAGTGGGCTAGTCACAGAGCTGCATTGAGTTAGAGGCAGGTCCCTCACCATCTCCCTTGGGAGTAGGGGTGGGACCAAACACCGTGGGCCTCGGCCAACCATCCTAATTCCTTCCTGCCACAGGAAGCTGTCCAGCCTGGAGTACCTCGATCTGTCCAGCAACAACCTGTCGCGGGTCCCGGCAGGGCTGCCGCGCAGCCTCGTGCTCCTGCACCTGGAGAAGAACGCCATCCGGAGCGTGGATGCAGACGTGCTGACGCCCATCCGCAGCCTCGAGTACCTGCTGCTGCACAGCAACCAGCTGCACGCGCGCGGCATCCACCCGCGGGCCTTCCAGGGCCTTAAGCGGCTGCACACGGTGCACCTGTACAACAACGCTCTAGAGCGCGTGCCTAGCGGCCTGCCCCGGCGCGTGCGCACTCTCATGATCCTGCACAACCAGATCACCGGCATTGGCCGCGACGACTTCGCCACCACCTACTTCCTGGAGGAGCTCAACCTCAGCTACAACCGCATCACCAGCCCACAGGTGCACCGAGATGCCTTCCGCAAGCTGCGCCTGCTGCGCTCGCTGGACCTGTCCGGTAACCGGCTGCACACGTTGCCACCCGGGCTGCCGCGCAACGTGCACGTGCTGAAGGTCAAGCGCAATGAACTGGCAGCCCTGGCGCGCGGAGCGCTGGCCGGCATGGCCCAGCTGCGTGAGCTCTACCTCACCGGCAACCGGCTGCGCAGCCGCGCCCTGGGCCCCCGCTCCTGGGCCGACCTTGCCCACCTCCAGGTAAGGGGGAGGGGAGAGCGGCTGGGTCATGCCCGCGTGAGGTGCTACTGGCATGGCTGCCCCGAGCCCACCCATCTTCTGGGCCCAGGTGAGGGGTGGGTAGGAGGGACTGGCCGTGAGGGGGGTGGCGTTGGGGGTGGGGCGGCTGGACCAAGGAAGCGGCTGGCTGGCATGCCAGGATACAGCAGTGAAGGGCTGGTGTGGCCAGGCTGAGCTCAATACCTGCAGGTACAGGCTTGCAGAGGGCTGTGGGGATAAGAAGTCATGGCTGCAGGTAGGGGGCCCACGGTTCAGGAGGACAGGCGGGGGAGGGGGTGGGCAGGGCCAGTTCAGGTGGCACTGGAGAGTCAGGCTCACCCATCTGAAGGCTCAGGTACAGGTGGCTGGGAAAGGCTGGGCTTGGGGCAGGGGAGTGGGTGAGGCCTGGGAGGCAGGCTGACCTCATCGGGTCTGCAGAGGGTGGGGGGAGCCTGCTTGAGGCGTGCTGGGCTGCTCAGTGGGTGTGGCTGCTGTGGCCACAGTTGGAGTCAGGTGGGATATCGGCTGTGAGCAAAACTTCCCACTCAGTGAGGGCTGAAAGGGAACTTGAGAAACCTGGGAGGCAGGGCCTAGGTGCTGCGAGGTCAGGAGCTGCCCCCCACTCTGCTGTCCTGCGGGGCTCCCTTCCCAACATGTCCCCTCCCTGTCTCTCAAATGTCACCTCCTTGGGAGGTCTTCCTTCACCACTTGTCACCCTCCTCTGCTTTGTTTTTCTTCCTGATCCTCATCCCTCCTGGGCATTAGGTCATCCATCTGCTTGTTTGTTGCCTGCTCTTTTGCTGAACCCGCAGCAGGCATTTTAGTCTGTCGTGTTCGCAGGACCTCAGTGTGGTAGGCTCACAGTACACGTTTTTCGGGGGAGCTGTCAGGATGAGGATGTCTGAGGGAAACATAGGGGAGAGCCCACAGAATGGGGGGCAGGGAGGTGGGGGCCAGCCCTGAGGGTAGGGCAGGGGTAGTTGGGGGTAGGCAGCTGGCCTTACAGGAGCAGCTGTTAGCCGGGGTCTCTCCTCACCCAGACAGCCCTGCTGGGTGCCAGACACCAGGATCCCGTTACCTGTGTCAATCCCTCTTGGTTTTCCTCCGGAGCCCATTCTCAAGGAGCTCGAATCCCATCGTCCTCCCCTCCATATTTGCTCCTCTTGAAGTGTATTTATTTTGAGAGAGAGAGAAAATACGAGCAGGAGAGGATCAGAGGGGGAGAGAGAGAGAGAGAGGGAGAGAGAGAATCCCAAGCAGGCTCTGCACTGTCAGCACAGAGCCCGACGTGGGGCTCGAACTCATGAAGCATGAGATCATGACCTGAGCCAAAGTCAGACACTTAACCCACTGAGCCACTAGGTACCGCTGTGCTGCATTTCCTAACTCACTGAAGGGGGTGCCCACAGGAAACCTGGAAGCTGCCCTTGACACCCCCTTTTTCACACCACGTGCCCCCAACATCCATTGTTACTAAACTCTGCCAGTTCTACCATCGCATCTCTCAACTCACTTCTCTCCACCCCTGCTTCCCATACCCCGAGCCACCCCCCTTTCTCACCTGCACCCCGGCTCCATAGGAGCTCTTCACTCCCTTATTCTGTATGCAGTCGGTAGGTATCTTGAAACACATACACTCACCTTATACTCCTGCTCAGAACCCTTCTGTGACTCCCCATTGCTCTTAGACCCAGACCAGAATCCTTGCCGCAGCTCTCAGGGCTGGCCTGCCTCTGCTCCTGGCTGAGCTCCTTGGTTTCCCAGCCACACTGGGCTTTACTCATACTGGCCTTGCTGCTGGAAGCATAGCACCCTGGGAACACCTCACTCATTCATGCCACAGTTGTCCCGGGCCTCCACCACGTAAGACACAGCTCTAGAACTGAGAACCTGACAGGGAGTAAGGTAGATGGGTCATTACCATCCTAGAGCCTATAATATGCCTAGGACTTAGTTCAGGTGTCATCTCCTTCAGGAAGCCCCCAGTGATGGGCAGGTATATGAATTCAGTCAGGGATGAGGTGTCTGGTGGGGGGATTCTTCCTTACACTGTCAGATCTTTCTATAAGCAGCTGCCCCCACTGCTTCAGAGCCCTTGCCTGTGCTGGCTGCTGTACTCCCCTGACCCAAGCCTGGGTCGAGGCCACTCCCCTGGGCTCCCTCAACACAGCCATTTCCACTAGCTGTCATTGTCAGATTCTGCGTGCATCTCCTCCGCCACCCTGACCTCCAGTGCCAGAGGCAGCTTCTAGTGGATTCCATTTCCCCAGCACCTGCGGGCATGAGGATGTTCGGAATGAATGAGGAAGTGCCAGAGCTGTGTGGAGGGGACACAGTGGGGAGCAGGGAGCCCTGCTGGGTAGAGGAGGTGACCGGGAGGCTCCCTAAGGTGTGAAGCTGGTTTTTCCCCTTGAATCTTGAATCTAGATTCATGGCCCCCAGTTCCTGACCCTGAGCCCCCTCCTGTCAGGGTGAGGAAGGGAGATTAGAGATGATGGAATCCCACCTGTGCCTACACAGGTGTGTGTCAGAGCGAGTATGTGCAGACAGCCTGAGGGGCAGGCAGTGAGCCAGGCCCATGCACGTCCAGGTCTCCTGCCTGCTGCATGTTTGCTCTGCTTCCTGGGAAAACCACCCCATTTCCCTGCCCACCTGCTTCCTGGACTCCAGGCATGTGGTGATCCCAGGACTGACCAGCCTAGGTCAGTGGGCCTTGAACCCTTGCTCTTGGCCCCTGCCCACATGGCCTCTGAAGGCCACAAATGAGCAACCCCACCTGTATGGACCCCACCCTCACCCTCATCTGGGACCAGTGTGGGAATATGCAACCACTGGAGGACCCCGGGCCTCTGCCCTTCTGGGATCTTCAGTCTGATAGGGGTGACAGGTGTACTAAGGAGGAAGGACTGTGACACTCAGATATCTTGGCTGTGAATTCATGTGGGAAGACAGAAGGAGCTGCGTAGGACATATAACAGTTAGAACAAGGGTTTGGAGTCAGGTGCTTTGGGTTCCAGCTTCATACAGGCTGTGTGGCCTTGGACAGATCTCTTAATCCATGTGAACCTCTGTTTCCCCTCCTGGAAAATGGGGACAGTTAAAGGCCCCACCTCACAGGGTTATCATAAGATTTAGATAGGCCAGGTGGTTGGTGGGATCTTTGCAAGATGTTAAGTGTTTTGACTCCCCTGGTCATCTATATAGCTGCTGGACATCGCTGGGAATCAGCTCACAGAGATCCCTGAGGGGCTCCCTGAGTCACTTGAGTACCTGTACCTGCAGAACAACAAGATTAGCACTGTGCCTGCCAATGCCTTCGACTCCACGCCCAACCTCAAAGGCATCTTTCTCAGGTAGGAGGTCCCCTGGGGCAGTGCACATGCCCCTCTGGGTTCAACCCTGGCTCTAGTGGGATAGTTGAGGCATGTGGGAACAGCTCCCAGGTAGAGGTCAGTGTTTGAAGCCTGGCTTCACTGCTGACTGGCTCTGTGACCCTGGGTACATCACAGAACCCCCCCCCCCCCCGAGCCTCTGTGTCCTCAGCTCTCAAGGGAGGGGACAGTCCTGGCCAAGCCTGGTAAGGTTTATAAGTTTGTAAAAGGGCTTCAGGAACTTTAAAAGCAGTGCATGTGGGCATTATTGATGTTACCGTGGCAGGAAGGGAACCAGGGAGCACGGATGATGGCTGTGCCCATAGCTGGCCAGGCTGTTCCCTGGGCCTCAGACCCAGCAGAGCAGGTGCTCAGGCCCTTGCTGAGCTCTGGGGGCTTAGAATGATTCTAATGGGGGAGCCAACTCCCCCAGGAAATGAGCTTTGGTACAGTAGAGTCAGGGTGGTTCTTCCCAACACCCTACCTAACCATCCCTTCAACTCAGGGAGAAGGGACAGATCTGAGGAGGCAGAATGTGCCCTCCCAGGGGAGTTGTGGCCCAGAAGGCCCCAGGCTGGGTTGGGGTGGAGTGTGACCTATGCCTGGGCTCGTGTGGGGGGATGGGGACCAAGGCACAAAGAATCGAGGGGGCCTGATATCAGAGCCCAGCCTCTGCCTCCCTTCAACCCAGGTGTGTCCCTGGCCCAGCTTAACCCTGGCCTTGCCTGTGTGCCACTCCACACCAGGCTTCAAAGTAACCCCAGGCTGGCAGCACCAGAGCCTCAGGCCTTGGGGTTGATCCCAGAGGGAGGTAATCCCAGGCTGAGAGGAGGCACCTGTTTCCGCCACTCCTAAATTTTAGAGCATTTGCAGACAGGGACCTTCCCCTTTTGGATGAGTGGCCCAGCGTCCACTCCTACCCGCCAAGCTGTAGCCACACTGAGTAGCTGGGACTTTTTATGACACACCATGCTTCTTAGCAGCCCCCGCACATCTTTTATGCTTCCTGTGCCATCTTCCTGGAGAGCTCGTTCCCTCCCCTTTACCGTCTAGGCTGGGTAAGTGTGGGGACTCTGAGGGTTAGGCCTCTGACACTGACCCCAAATGGGTGGCCTGCACAGGTTTAACAAGCTGGCCGTGGGCTCCGTGGTGGAAAGTGCCTTCCGGAGGCTGAAGCATCTGCAGGTCTTGGACATAGAAGGCAACTTTGAGTTTGGTGACGTTTCCAAGGACCGGGGCCAGTTGGAGGAAGAGGATGAGGAAGACGAGGAGGATGAGGATGAGGAGGATGAGGAAAGGCGATAGTGACGGGGTGAACCGGATTTGACATAGGTAGGTGGTCTGGGGGGGGGGGTACACTGACCTCTCCCCACCAGCTTCCTGTCCCTGACCCCGGTATAGGCCCTGGGTGAGAGGCTGGCAAAGCTGTGGGAGGCCAGCACAGGCTGGGGAGCTCTCCAGGGCGATGAGCGCCCTGATGGGACTGGCACAGGCACTGGGATGGTGGAAGCAGGGCATGGATGTGGGGGCCTGGAGGAGGCTACTGTGGTGATCCGGGCCAGAGGCGATGGGGGTGGGCAGTGAGGTTGCAGACAAGCAGAAGGCCTGAAGGGATTTGGGGGAGCGACAGGCAGACTCCAGAGGCCAGAGTAGTCCTGCTGGGCCAGGGTGAGGGAGAGGACAGGCCCCCAGGTCTAACTTGAATTCCAGATGGACGATAGTACTAGGAGAGCAGATTTGTTGTGGTGGGAGTGTCGAGTTAGGCGGGCCTGGAGTGTGCTCGGGAGCTGCCCAGAGGTGGGCCAGGTATGTGGGTCTGGGGCTGGAGGTTGAGGTCTGGGCTGGAGATGGGGGTCCAGACATTATCAGCCTGGAAATAGTCATGAGGCCACAGGAAGCTCGGGGAGCTCGCTTGGGGAGAGTGACAGGCCGTGGCCAGCTGCAAGGGAGCCTGCAGAAGGGGCTGACACAGAGTGGCTATGGAAGGAAGTGGGACAGAGGCAGATTATGTGCATATGCAACACAAGCACCCTACATGTGCACACAGTGCACCAACCGACATGTACCCGTGCTCACACATGTCCAAACATGCATACGTGTGCATGGATAACACACACTCAGGACACAGAGCGCACACAGACACACATACATGTACTCCACGACACATTCACAGGTGCAGGATGTGTGCATGCTTGCATGCACTCGCGCATGCATGTGTCTACACCCGTGCATCCCCACGGCTCTGGTGGAGAGAGTAGCTGTGTCAGTGCTGCTGAGAGGCAGGTGGAGGTGAGCACTATCAAAGGCCTGTCAGATTTATCCACAAGAAGGTTACCCGTGACCTTGTGGGGGAGCAGCCTCAAGGGCAGTGAAGGTGGAGAAAGTAGCTGGCAAGGAGTGGATCCAGGGAGCATAGACAACTCTGTCAAGAAGTTTGGCCGTAAAGGGATGAGATGAGAGGGTGGCACGGGGAAGAGGTATGAAGTTCAGGAGGGACTCTGTTTACTTTGCACCCTTTTCAGAAACAGAGTTGATGGGAGGGGCTGGCCCGGAGGGGGAGTTAAAGATGTAAGAGAGGAGAGCAGGGAGAAGCTAGCCCTGTGGACACAGTAGGAGGGTCTGGCTTTGGCAGGAGGCTCAGTCCTTCCACTGTGTCAGGAGGGATGAAGGCTGCAGTCACACACAGGACAGTGGCTTGGTGGCTGAACATGAAATCACATCAGCCCGATGCCTTCAGCCTTCTGTTTTCTCTGTGCAACAGGAGGTGCTCAGCAGACCGGGGTGGGTGTGGAGAAGATGGACCATTGGATCCATCCATGGCTGGGGTTTTGGCCAGGTGTGTGGGACAGAAGGGTAAGGAACAAGGACGTTGAGGGTGTTGACAAGAGAATGGCTGCAGTTGTGGACCCCGGGGGTCAGGCTGGGAAGGAAGGAGGTGCAGACAGGAGGAGTGTGGGTGGGCTGGGTCTCTGGAGAGGGACGTTGGAGAGTGGGCACAGTGTGGTGAGTAGCCAGGAGGAGAGATGTGGTCAGAAGGGAATATCAGAATGAGCTGAGCTAGGGGTCACAGGGTCAGGCTGTGGCCATGTGAAGGGGCCCTTGGGCCACTGTTAGGACACTGAAAGCAGGGGCTTGGGTCAGAGTGGAGACTTGAAGGTGGTGGTGAGGATCCCATGGGTGGATGACAGAGGGAGGTGTGGCTGACAGAAGAGTGTGCGTGGGGCGGTTATCCCACCATGGAGAAGAGGCTCTTGGGAATCCCCTTCCTCTGTTCTCGGAGCCCAGGAGTATGAAGTGGAGATCCTTCTCTCTAGGCATTGTCCTCAGGCAGAGCCAGGGGTCAACGATGGGGGTGAACAGCTGTCCAGTGAGGATGCTATATCCCTCATTGAGGGGGATGGGGAGTCCTGGGATGGGAGAGAATCTGTCCTCTCTGGAGGACATTGGCCTCGGTCGGGTCTGTTGAGTGGGGCCTTGGGAGAGGCCCTGGGGAGTGGCCAGAGGGACCTAAAAGCCCTCTAGTCAATACCAGGCCTGGTCACATCAGCAAGAACACCTCTCAGTGGGTGGCCGGCTGGTTCTGGGCTCCCAGGGGCAACTCTGCCTCCTGCCTGCAGTCGCCTGGCCCTCCCAGAGTCCCCTGGGGGGCCCCCAGCTCTAATCTACCTTCCCAAAGCTGGCACTTCTGCCCTGGCCTCCCTGACTCTCCCACGTGTTCTACAGGACACCGGACCGCCAGACCCCTTTCTGCAGCACGTACCTGTGCCCTGTGAGCCCCACTCTGCCATGCTCACAGACACACCCAGTGCCACCCTCACCAGCCACCCTGCACCCCACTGCCACAACACAGGCTGGACACACAGTCTCCCATTCCCCCTTGTTCCTGTAGTACCCCACGGCCAGACACGTGCAGGCAACATGACACAGTCACACACTGCTGGCTGCACGGAGCAAGCCCACCATACAGTTCCCCTCTCCATCCCACGCCCTCCATTGCCATCATGCCCTTGGACTCCTGCAGACTCAGGGAAGGGTCTGACCCTGCCCTGGCACTCACGGGCGCCTGCTCCCTTCACCTTGGACCCGCATGTGCACGCGTGCGCGCGCGCGCACACACACACACACACACACACACACACACACACACACACACACGAGTCCCATGAAAACAGCCCTCTATGGCCTATGCCACCGACATATCTTGCCCCAGCCAGAACTGGCCAGAACAGCTTGCCACCTGCTCATCCGTCTGTTCGTCCGTCCACTGGAGAAGACAGAGTTATCTTGGTGCTCTCTGTGGCCAGGTGCCTGCCACCCTCTGGAACTCACAGAAGCTGACTTTTGTTCCTTTTCTTCCCTTTGGGGACAGGAACCTTTGGGACTGCTGCCCTGGCCTGCCTGCCCTGACTCCCAGCTGCCCAGGCAGCCACTCCCTGCCAGGCCCTGGCCGGCCACAGGCATGTCTGTGATGGGAAACCCCACTGAGGCCAGAGGGAAAGTCTCCTGGGGTTGCTGGGGCCTTGGGCAGAAGTCAGGCGGAAGGGCAGTGCCAGGCAAGGAGGAAGGGCCCAGCTGCCCTGATGACATACCTTTTTTATTCTTTGGGCCTGTGGGATGTTCTGGGTGCCTTGGGTTTTTAAATTCTTTTTTAAGAAAAAAAAAATGATAAAAAACAAAACTGATTTTTCTTGTTATAGAAAAACTAATATAAAAGCATTACCCCTTTCTGGCAGCCTATGGCCGTGTCCGTGTGTGCTTCCTGCCAGGTGCCAGGCCAGTGCCTGGCTGGGGTGGGCAGGATACAAGCACCTGAGAGCCTTTCCAGACCAGCAGGAGTCGGCACGAAGTTCAGTTCTTGGGCCCACAAAGTAATCCACAGGCAGAGGTCCAGAGACGCAGGGTTTAGTCACAGGTGAGGAGGCCTGGAGGCACGTGTGACCGTCAGCTTGGTGGGGGTCAGCAGGTCCGGCCAGCACCACCACACTGGGCTTGTGAGCTCACTCCGCGCTTCCAGAGGCTGAGCATCTGAGCTCACCCAGAGGACCGCCTGTGCACTGAGTGGGCACTACTGATGGGGTTTGTCCCCAGGATGGCTGGGGTGGGAAGGGGACTAGAGGCAGGCCTGAGACCTAGAGCAGGGTCTACTTGGGGGCCCAGGTCTTTGCAGGCCTGCCCGGGGAAGAAGTGACGGACACGCCTAGTGCTCCCACCGCCCCCAACAGTGCCAGAGTTGGAACTGGAAGGCAGCCCCCGGCTCAGAGCACAGGTGGTGAGATGCCCAGGAAGCATGACCTCCCACTACCGGAGGTGTGTAAGCGTGCTCCTGTCAAAGACCAGATTCCTGCCTTGTGGTGGGCCAGGCTTCGTTGCTAAAAGGGCCTTAGAGATGTGACACAGGGAAGGGACGTTTAAGCCGGTCCACACCACTGTGGGAATGACTGATAGCTTGACCTCTGACCTCTCTTAGGTGATTAGGCCTGAGTGAAGGAAGGATGCTCCCATGGTGGACCCCACAGCCCCCAGCCCTGCAGCGAGACGGGGATCCTAGGATCGGGGCCCTTCTTGGACTCCTTAGATCATGGCCATGCGAGGAGGATAGGAAGGAGTTCAGGAGCGGGGGCTGGGAGGCAAGTGCCCTCCTGGTTCTCTGAGTGACTTTGGGAAGCCCATCCCCTCCCCCCAGCTTCAGTGTCTTCATGGGCTCCTCTGTGCAAGACTCTGGAGCTAGATGTTCTCCCCAGAGCACATTCAGAACAGGCAGTGTGGCCACGGCTCTTCTGTGTCCCCTGGAGCCTCCTGGAGGCACCCTGGGGCCAAGGACAATGAGGGAGAGAGTCTGGAAATGTCCTTGGGCACATCCCCTCCTTAAACAAAGCAAAGGCCCCCGATTTACACTCTGCCTCCTGCATATGACAGGTCAGACAGGCCTGTCCTCATTCCAACCTCCAGGGACAGGCTCATTTGCACTCTGGCTGCCCAGGCAGGTCTGTCCATACACTGACAGGCCAGCTAGACCTGTCTACACTCCAGCTACATGGACAAGCCTGTACATTCTGGCCACCTGGGCAGGTCTGTTCATACGCCGGCTGCCCTGTCAGGCCAGTCTGACAGCCTGTATGAGCCCAATAAAGAAATGCTGGCTGGGGGGCCTGGGTGGCTCAATCAGTTGAGCATCATCAGACTCTTGATTTCAGCTCAGGTTATGATCTCACGGTTTGTGAGTTCGAGCCCTGTGTTGGGCTGATGGCATAGAGCCTGCCTGGGATTTTCTCTCTCTCTCTCTCTCTCTCTCTCTCTTTCTGCCCCTCCCCTGCTCGCATTTCTTCCCTCCCCCCAACCTCAAAAATAAGTCAACATTAAAAAAAATGCTGGCCAGGGTATGGTCACCAAGCCCACAAAATTGAAAAACAAAACACCTTTATTTAGTTATCACTGAATTTGCGAACACAGAAAGGAGTAGAAAATCTAACACCACTTCATCACACAGGCTCATGGAGAGTGCTGACCCCAAGGCTCCATGGGCAGCTTGACTAAAGCATCCCAGGCAAGCCTGCCTCCCCAGTCCTGGCTGGCCCACCTGTCCTGTGGGAGACTGGCCCAGATGTGTCCAAGGGCCCCTGCAGCTCTTCTGAGGCCATGCTGTCTCCACACGGGCTGAGCTTTGTGAGACACGACTGGTGAGACTGATGGGAGACGGGACAGGCTGTGGCACGTGGCAGGCAGCGGGCCTTGGCCTAGGGCTGGGCCGTCCTCAGGGAGAGCTGTTTGTCTGAGGCCACGTGTTATGGGGCAGGGAGGGTGACCGGCCTGGGCAGGGACTCAGCTGGGGCAGAACCAGAACATCGCTCTATCTTCATAAACTGAAGGCAGTGGTGGCTGCTGAGCTCCTGCAGAGGGGCAGAGACCCTTGGCATCTGGCCCTGCAGGCCCCTGTCCTCCAGGAGAGAGTGGCCAGGGCCTGGAAGACTTGAGTTAGAGTCCTGGCCCTGACGTTACCTGCCCTGAGACCTGGGGCAAGTGTTTTCAGCTCACGGGGTCTCAACTCTGTGATCCAGAAAGTGGGACCATATAGCCCCTGCTGCCACCCTCATAGGTTAACACAGTGGAAATGTCATAGCTGGGGCCTTGGCTGTGCCAGGTCATAATTCTCCAGCTGGGGCTCCCACATGCAGTCTTTCCCTTTCTGAGACTCTATTGTCTGGCCTGTGGGGCGAATCCTGGCCTCTCAAGGGTGGGAGGAGTGTGTGAGCCTGGCTCCTGCCGAGTGCTCAGAAAAGTAGTGAGTTGAGATCCTGCCCTTGGCCCCTAGACCTGGAGGCCTCCCCTGGCCCCTGCAGCTCTGCAGGCTACACATTGGTCTCAAGCTCACTGATCTCAATGGTGCAGTGGTCCAGAGAGGTGGCAGCTGGTTCCTCGTCCTGCTCCACCTGGACAGGGATGTGGTGGGGACAGGCAGGGCCCAGGGTCAGCTCTGAGGCCTCCGCCACGCTCTTCACACAGCCATTCTGCTGGGTTGCCACGATCTCCTGGAGGCTCACTGGCTTGGTCTCACGGGGCGGCAGTTTCTGGGGAGGGGAAACAGGCCTTGGTAGCAGCAGGAGGGAGTGAGGTTAGACACCAGGGAAGACTGAAAGAGCAAACCACGTGATTGGTTTTCCTACAGATGTGCTGTGGGACCTTGATATGTCACACACGGCCTCTCTGGGCTCCAGTTCCAATCTGTCCTGCTTCCTTTTGAGGTTGTCTTAGTGGAGAAGTCCAGTGAGGGAACTGGTGGGTCCCCTGCCTATCCACCCCAATGGGAGTGGGACAGCCTGTTACACATAGTTATTGCCATGAAGCCCTGTGCAGACGTACAAATGTTTGCATTGTTGTCGGCAGGATAGAGCGCACCCCCACACTAAGGTACAGGCTCCCTGAGGACAGGGTTTATCTTTCTTTGTTTGCCACTGCTCCTCCCACGATGACGAGTGCTCAACAGCTAGCTGCGAGAGGAATCGGTCACCCCGTGTCCAGATGAGGAGGCAGGGAGGGATTGGCAGAAAGTTGCTCAGCTGGTGAGAAGACCTGCACCCCCATCCCAGCTCCACCCTCCCAACGGCCAGGCTGGGAGGCACTGCTCTCACCTCCACGCCTGTGTCCTGAGCAAAGTCCTTCCGGCAGATGTGGGCCATGATCCCTGCCGCCAGCGCGTCACCCAGCACGTTAATCATGGTGCGAAAACGGTCCCTGGTGAGCCAAGGTGGGCAGTGAGTGGTGGGCACTATTTTAGGTAAGAGGAGCTGGCAGCAGGCAGGGCCCAGCCCAGCAGCACCTGCAGCCGGCAGCCAGGTTGGAGCCTGTGGCAAAGTGCCTTTTCGGTCCTCTCAAGCCTACGGCCCCTGCTCGGGCAAGGCCAAAGCAAGTTGATGCACGGCTGGATTCAGGAACATGTGGACTGTGCCCATGCTCAAAAGGGCCTGGGCTTGGTCTGATGCTCTGCTCTCACCCCCTTGAAATTCTTTATATTTTTGAACAAGGGTAGGCACATTTTCATTTTTAAAAACTGGCCCCCGCAAAGGCTGGTGTCAGTGTGCCAAACCATGGCAGTTCTCCTGGCCCACCCTCAATGCCTGCTGCCTGGGGGATGAGGCAGGTAGGGGGCAAACCCACTCACAGAGCCCAGTCGACAGCGATGATGAGGGTGATGTCGTCAGTGGGAAGTCCCACGGAGGTGAGTACGATGACCATGGTGACGAGCCCAGCCTGGGGGATGCCAGCTGCCCCGATGCTGGCCGCTGTGGCCGTGATGCTGCAGGAGGGGCAGGGAGAGGAAGAGGAGGAGCAGGAGGGGCAGGCCTCGCTGTTGGAGCCCTGGCTCCAGGAAGGAGTCCAGAATGCCAGGGCCTCTGGGGACAGCCATATGGGGCAGGGGTTGTTAGGAATGCCACATCAGGAAGTTCTCAGGGTGGGGGGCACGTCCCTGCTCAAGGTCCTGTGACTCCATGGGCCTCCACCTCTGGTCCCAGTGGAACCTCCTGAGGAGTTTGTAGAAGAGCATGTGCCTGGGGCCACTGCCTCTGTCAGGTTCCAAAAAGCTGACCAGAAATTCAGGTCTTCCACCTGCATGGCTCTGCCCAGCCTCCCTCTGGGCCTGGTTCCTGGGGCCAGACTTGTGCCCTCAGGCTGGCACACAAGGTCTTCCCCACGGCCTCTGACCCTCACCCCAGCACCCTTCCCTCACCTCCAGCCACACTAGCAGTCACCCTCCCCCCGTCCCCTCATCCCACCCCTGGCCTCTGCTCACCCTCTGCCTGCCTTTAGCCCCCTCCCTGCCCTGCATGCCCAGACTGCAGGCCCTCCTCTGGACCTTAGTTCCCATCCTGCTCGGAGCTCCCCCTCTGCAGGGTGACACTGGGGAAGGAGCCCTGAGTCATAGAAGCCAGGCCACATCCCAGCACTAACTTGCCGTGTGGCTAGGAACAAAGCCCTTGCCTCCTCTGCACTTCAGAGACCCCATCAGATCTGAGAGCTCAAGAATCCTGAAGGTCCTTCCGGTGCCCTCCTCTTCCCCGGCCAATCCACCCTGGGTATGGGGTGTCAGGTGTGTACCTGATGGTGATGATCTGGCCGAAGTCCAGCTCATAGTTGTTGACCTGGGCAATGAAGATGGCGGCCACAGCCTCGTAGAGCGCTGTCCCGTCCATGTTGATGGTGGCGCCCACGGGCAGCACAAAGCGGGCAATCCGCCGGTCAAT